GAAGTTTGTCGCAGTTAACTCGATGAAGTGAAGAATCGAGAGTGACTTAATTGCAATAGGGTTAAGCAAATGTTTAAAGAAGATAAAGAATTTCAGAATACATTAGCATCGTAATGGTGATGAGCTGACCGCACGTGATGGATAACATTGGCCTTTTGCGTTCTAATTTATGCGTTTGTCTTTAAAATAATATTTTCAGTGAATGAGACATAAGTTGGATGAGAGATCACAGCAACCGTCATTAAGAAATGGCATGCGTGCAGAATGGTGTTTCCATACCACAACTCTCACATACTCGACGCACTGAATTCCTAATTCATGCTCAATAGCTGACTGATCCAGAAAAAGAGTGCTAGATCCAAAGGCTCGAGTTAAACTGCCTGCCAGGCAAAGGTAGCTAGCCCTCGACCATTTCATGGTGACCACTATCTATTAAAAGTTTGTACGTTAGCTTATGAGTGTAGTCAAATCGTTTTATAGACTGATTAGATTCCATATGAAGTGATAAACGATTTCAAAAAATTCTCCTGTGTACAAATTTAATTGCATAGACCTTAACCGATTTTAAGATGGTAAGAGTTATAAAAGTTACTTTGGTCACTGCAGCTGCCAACGGATTGAAAAGTGGAAATAAGCTGTATGAATTCATTTCCAAATTTGAAATATGGTTTTCCCTTAAGAAATTTGAACATCGCAAAGACCACGAATCTAACAGAATGCTTTGACGTCATGCAATTTCGTGACCTCTTATTTACAATCGTGGCCTACTCCTAAGATAAAGTAACTGTATAATAAAGCATTGACCTGGAAGGTTGAGACCTCAAATGCTAATAGAGCAGGAGGTATCATTCTTAGATTTGTATTCATAGTAAGGGGATAGAGAAGGGGAGGTGGTTATCAGAGCAGGACAGTTCATGTTACAGTAAAAGCCTGCGAAACGAGATGAAAGGAGGGGAGAGCAAAGGAAAGGGCAGCGGTCGGTCATGCGATGGGGCGAGGAGGCTTAACAGCCTTTAACTGTAACATGAACTGCCTTGCTCTCATAGCTACCTTCCCTCTCTATCCCCTCACCGTGCCCCCCACTTCAAGAACAATAGCTTCTACAGTATTTATCTACCAATTTGTGCACTTCTAGGTCGATACATTATTGGCCAGTTAATTTATCTTATTAAAAGGCAATGACCAATTGTTTTCGTATAAACTGGAAGCCAGACGTCCCAAGAAATCCAATTACAAGGAGACATTTTCTTTGAGATAATAAGGTAAACTCATTCAGTTTATTTGCGACACTAGATCCCCAGTTCGTCATCAGACTTGAGAAACTGGGTATTTCTGGATGTTCTCGTGCTGCGAAATACTGACGGAACATTAAAAATGTCCATTTTCTGCAAAGACTCGTATGTGGAAGATATCCCTAACAGCGAGAGCAACAACTCATCTCTAACAAATGGAGTGCCATCAACAGTTTGCTATGCCGAGCGAAGGTACACTGGCCTGACGAAGAATCCTGCCCAGTTGAGCTGAATGATCTGTTCGATTTGTTTTCCAGCAATGGTTATCCCAGAGACTTTGTAGGCCGGTGCAAGAGACAACAACAATCCAACAAAACGGGACTAGATATTTTCACTAAGGCGCCCAAAACAAATATATTACGAGTATTTCCTCATATGAGGAATATGTTTTTACTCGTTGAAAAGCACTTACGTCTACACCAAAAAACGTGGCGCACAAATCGATAATACTTTATGCACCCAGCCGGTACACCCTAAGGATAGGGTTGGCTACCTCGAAAAGAAAGAATTTATCTACAAAATCCCATGCGAAACTTGCGATACCATTTATTGTGGCCTGACGGGAAGATCCGTCACCACACGCATCCACGAGTACCAATTTGCAATGAAGAGACGTGACCATGTGTTGCCTTGACACAGAATACACATTTGCATGGGACAACTTCCACATCGTCGGAGTTTGTCCCCCTTAAAAGGCGGAGAATTACTCGAGGCTATGCTGTCCGATTATTTCTGCATCAATCGGCGTACCGAGTTGGATGGAGTGTGCAAATATCTCAAAGAAAGATGGAGGAGACGACAGCCAATCAGTACCAACCAACGTAAACCGCAATTTGCGCCCACACTGGATGACCCGGACTGAGCGCAGACTGACGCGGACTGACAGTTGAAGATTAACCATTACGCTTTTGGGACTAGTGATTTTGACCACCACGGCATAAACAAATTGCAGCAGCCAAATAGCGCCCACACTAGATGACTACATAACTGTACCAGCACTTTTGAAGTGTTAATTGTTAGTTGCACAGTTTCTCAATTCAGACGACGACCTGGGGATTCAGTGTCATGCATTTACTGAATAGAGTTTCTTCATTATCTCGAAAGACCTGCCTCCTTGAAATGGCCAATTGCAGTTGAATAGCCGGTCGCGAAATTGTATAGCGTCAGTAAATTGTGTTAGTCTCGTGATCTTTGCGTTGTTCAGAATTCATTTTGGTTTGTCACTTAAATAAGACTCAAATATCTAAATTTACCTGATGTCTGGCGGTTGACAGTTTGTGTATACTACGCGGTCATGCCACAGTGGTTGATCGACTGTGGATCAAATACTTCTACCAACTTTTGGTCTATGCCTGTAGACCTTCGAATATACGGATATACTCCAACTTCAAGAAATAAATTTCCAAAGAAATTAAAAATCTAAAATGTTATTGCTAGCAAACTTGAATTTCCAAAGACTATTCATCTGGTTGGCGATCTCGCGGACACCGTGGCTTTCCGAAATCATTCCCTGAATGTTAGTTTTGGCGGAAAATATCTCGCTAAATCAGGGGCATTAAATTAACTTGTTTTCATTGCTGCTGATACAGCACGGATTAATTGGGCACTAAATGCCTGTCATTAAACTGCATATGATTAAGTTTACATTGCCTTTCTTTGGGAACCCACATTATATACTACTTATATTAAGGTCTCCTGAGAGTTTGACGGCATACAAATAAATGGAGTAAAGAAGTCTGCGGAATGTTGTCTTTTAACTTCGATAAACAGAATAAATTTTAGAACGATGACATTCAGGCCTACGAATAAAATCAGAGCTGGATTTTAAGCCGCGCTAAGGAGGGCGATCCTAAAGTCCCCAAACATATTATATACCTCATCATCGCTGGTTACAGATTCTGTCTCAGCTGTCTTGGGAATGAGTTGTGCCACTGAATAGGATGCCTTATTAAAGCTCCAACGTCTAGTGAAAAAATAAAACAGCAGAGCATCCTAGGACTACAACTAGGGCCATTTAGAATGGAGATAATCGAGGCTTTCTCTTATGAAAACAACAAAAGTTTGCTGTTCTGAATTATTAATACATTTTACTATACAGTTACTATCGGAGTACATTAAACAGAAGCCAAAAATCGATTTAAAAGGAGTGCTATATTTACTGCCGCAGGAACTCTGGCTTGACAATTATAATACGCTTTATTTAAATAGAAAGTAACAAAAGTGTAAAGCATAGTGTGAACAATTTAGGAATTCAGTCCACATTATACAGTAAAACACCTACCTTTTGAATTTATCACAACTACCAAAGGGTAGACAACTATACCTACGTTATTAAAACTGCCAGTTTCATAGATGAACTACTGGATTCTAATAACAGACTAAGTTTCTAACATATAATACTAAAATAAATCACTTGCCATTTCTTCAATTGTGGACTTGCTGATGTAACTGTCGACGTCTTCTGAAGACATTTCTAAAAGCTGACTGACGTTTTGTAGTGTAAACTAGCTGACTTTACAGAATGCAGAGTTTAAATATAGTCTCTACGGCAAAAGGAACAAATATAAAAGAGAAAATGAGCAACCCACCAATGATTAGCTCTCATTTTGCCTGAGCATGTAAACCGTGAACTTGTTTACAGCGCAGCGTAAAAACACTCAGTTGCAGACAGTGGTGAAGGAGAACGATTTCTCCCGCCTTGCTTGCTATTCAGCGAGATATCATGAGAAAAAAAGCGAAGGGATCCGTCAACTTTATTTTCTCCGCGTCTTATTGACTACCCAAGGTGAATAACCGAGGCCTTATCTCTCGCAGATAGGCGCCAGATTTAAATAATTTTTGAGTAATTTTTATCAACTACTTGGGATTTCCGATTCTGAAGACCAGTTGACAATCATGGCCCATGGTCACCTCACTGTAAGAACTCCTCTGCGATCTTTCGCTCTCGTTCTTTCTCTCGTCCCATCCATTCTTTGTGAAATGGTTCCTCCAAACCTTCCCTGTCACTTAAAGAAGTATCAATTGTCAAACGATACCCCTCCCGAACCCTATGCTAATGACCCACCTGTATGCAAAGACGAACGGTATTGGCCGCAAGTGGTATATACCTCACATAACCCTGTGTAGGGCAAATGACGGCATATCATGTTTTGGTCATAAACTTTGCTTGTCCTACTTGTATCCAGAACCACGGCAACCTGTAATATCACATTCATAAACAAGTCAAATGAAATAAAGAAAGTCGCTGGGAGTCCTGTAGAACAGTACGTAGCTTTCCAGAACGTATCAAAAAACAAAATATAATTAAGTTGGGAGAAGGAGTGGTGATACCTGCTACACAAGAATTTTCTTAGTGTGTAAGCTGTTGACTACTAATAATTTTTTTGCTGGTTAAAAAAATGGGTCATATTTCAGACCGCAGAGTGCCCCTGAGT